AAAGGAGCCATGACCCAGGACGCCAGGCATCGTTTTCACAGTAGGAGAAAACTGTTCCTAGTCACGTGTGCAGGTGGAAAGGCACGCTCACTTCCGCTGTCTGAGGAAGCAGAGCAGTGACAGTGACTGTAAGCATGTGGGGCCCTCCTTTGGCTTCCGTCCAGAGGGCATGGCATTTCCCCAGGATCCCCTCTAGATCCCCTCTGGTTCCTTAGGTGATAAAGACTAGCCTGCACCTCTCAGAGGCACAGATCGGGGGGGGGCGGAAGCATCATCCCCTGTACCCCCAGGTCCCGGAGGCCCCTGAGAGGTCCAGGCTGCCTGGAGGTGAGCATGGCTGGTTCTTAGGCAAGTCCCTCTCCAGCCTCTCACTGTCTTCCCAAGGCCCCCTTTCCCTTGCTGGTGCCTCCAGCTCCTTGCCCTGTCTCTGCAGTGTCATCCTGAGGGCCTCTTGATTGTAAAGCAAATGAGTTTGGGTTAAGAATCATCTCTGTCCAGCTGGTCCCAGACCACAGACTTCAAACAGTACAAGCTGCTTAGCTGCGTTCTGTGACCTTGAGCCTCACAGTGGCTTTATCATTTCAGGCACCGATGGAAATGTTATGGTAATGTCAGTGAATGAAGCTGTAGATAATTAGTGGGATCATGAAATTAACTTTCAGTGTGTTTTCTCGTGGACTGGTAGTCAAAGGGGGTTCTTCTAGTCCAGCTGCAGCGTTTCATCCTTGCTCATCAACAGCCAATATCAGGTCCGATTCTTACGTTCTCACTTCCCAGTCTGGACCGCAGGACCATTCAGCAAAAGCGATTCCGGGGTGAACACTTCTCCCTGGAAACTGGGCACCCCCTGGAACTACTTGGATGTGAACACTTTAGTGGGAGGACCTGCACGCAGCGGCAATCCCAGGTCAGGCCAGGAAATGAGCTTAATAATATCCACCCACCATCCATTCAACAGTTCCTGATGCACAGCTTGTGGGCCATGCCCTGGGGGCTGCAGAGAAAGGTCCCTCATGGTGCTCAGAGCCTGTGGGCGACTGTGAGGACTCAGTGGGCAGACATCCCGCGTGGAGCAAGTGACAGGCATGGACTCTGGTGCCTACACGGGCCTTGGGCGGATTGTTGACGGTGCCCCTCCCCCTTCTGTCTCTTAACGCCCCACCTACAGAGGTGCTGTAAAGACAGAATAACTTACAAGAGCAGTTTGGACCTAAGTGCCATTTTAGGTGCAGGATAGGGGTTTGTCATGAAGGCTGCAGTAACTAAAATGCAGAGGTCCAACTGGACAGGCTTATGAGAATCATGCTGTCGGGGTTTGGATCCACGGCCCCAGCTTGTGAAGGACAAATGAGCAGACAGAGCGGCCTCTGGCCCAAACCCAGCCGTCTTTCAAGAGCCAAACGCAATTTGTAAACACCATGGCAAGGCCACTTGAAAATTAACTCCCCCACCCGTTAACTTGTGCTGACTGATGAATAATGCGTCTCTGAGTGTCAATTAACTGATTTTTGTTCTAATTCTCGTGCTGCCACATGGATGTGATTTAAAAGGCAGGAGAGTGATAATCCAAGAGAGGGTGTGTGCGCGCGTGTGTATGCATCTGTTCTAAATCAGGACAGCTGATTCCGTGTGTTCCACCCAGGAACCCAGTGGTTGCCTAGCAACGTAATGATCTCGGCAGCCAGGAGGACCCGTGAAGAATATGAGTGTGATTAACCCGGAGTAAATCAAATGGCCAAGGAAGAGGGCAGGGCGGGCCAGCCTAGGGCAGGTCTCACTCCACTTTGCAAACTCTGCTGCTTTTGCACAGCAACATCCAGCGGGACTCGGCCAGATTGGGTGGCCCCCATTAGCAGCTGCTGGGCTCTGTCAGGTGGTGTAGACTTGAAGCAGAGCATGGACAGGTGGGGACCCTCCCCGAGCAGGAACGATGGCCTGCCCTTCCGAAACTATGGAAGGTAAAGGCGGCTTCGCCCGGGCAAGGGTACCCACTGGTGATCAGATGGCTTTGAGCAGCGGCCGTCGTCAATCCAACGCTGTTGTTTCCTCTTCTGTAACAACTTTTTTCTGGATGCTTTTCTTCTGTATATTCCCAGTATCCCCAACTGGAAAAGGCAGGGTCTTGGCGTTCCTGTTCTAAATAGGAAAATGATGCCTGTATTGGTTTTCCAGCTGGGCAGTTCGGGAACTGCCTGCTGTCCCTCCCTCCTTGGCCGGAAAGGGACCAGCTTGGATAGTTTCTCAGCTGGTGTCTCTGAACCACTGCTTGCATTCCAGCCATCAAAACATGCATCTTTTTTATTTTAATTAATTTTGCAGTGTTGTCTCAAGCCATTCCGTTTTGTCATTTTCACTTGCTCCCATGATGGGCGTTAGCAGAAGAGGGTCGTGCTGAGCAGACGTAAGTGCCACCTGCGGGAGTGCTCTTGACCTCTGGTGTGCTGTCTCTCCTTCCCGCTGCCCACCCATGTGTTTGGAGAGCCCTCTCTTGGCTTCTGACAACAAACACAGCTCCCTGCAGAGCCTTCCTTTAAATGTCTCAGCTCCCCTGGGAATGGTTGGGGTTTCTCCAGAGGGTGGCGCTGACACCCATCCTCTGGCTCAGAGGTGCCCACTGTTAAGTGCTTCCCAGTTTAAAGCAGTCACTGTCCCCCTGGAGGACTCCCCAGTCACCATGCAAGGTCACTGTTAGAGAAAGCACACCGGACTGTGACTCCAAGGCAGTACTTGGCTGAGCAGATGTGTTCGCGCAGGATGTTTAACCACTTTACAGAAGACCTCTCTGTCCCCAAAGGGCCTCGGCCCTCACGAACAACTCAGGACACCTGAGTGCAGTGACTTTACACTTAGGATTTTATTTCAACTGTCTCAGCTTAATTGTATCCAAGTGGAACAAATGAGCCTTCCCCGAAACAGATGTGTCCACAGCTGTGATGCTGACAGGGCTTGGAGGGAGGCCCCTTCAAAGGGTACTGCAGTGCTTCTCCCCAGTTGGAACTGGACTGGGTCTTCTGGGCCTTCCTGGGCACCAGTGTGCAGGTTTCTTACCTTGGCTGTGTCCACAGCCCACCTCTCGCACCTGGGTCCAGATACTAGAGGAGCGGCCTGTCCCCTGCCTGGGCAGCCCAGGAGCCCAGCCAGGCATCTTCTGATTCTGAGTAACTGAGCCCAGCAGCAGTGGAATCATTCCTCAGTCTCACCTGAGGCTACCTCTGGGCCTTTACCTGGTGATGTAACCAGGACAACCGCATGCCAACACCCCACCCCCATTCTGGATGGGGTTCTCTCATAACAAATGCCACCCTGGCCCCCCAGCCCTCCAGAAAACTGCATCTGAACGCTCTGTGGGTGGATGGGTGTCCCCGGTCCAGTATGCAGCCACCTGGCCCTGGCAGTGCCACTCCTTATGACAGGATCAAAGAGGGACCACACAGGTCCCTCTGCAGATCTGCTGCTGCTTCCTCACGTGGCATATTCCATACATGAACAATGACTACCGTCAAGTGGGAAAGTGTCACAAGGCTTAGAGGCACCCAGGTAACCGACTGATGGTTTCACCCCATGATATTTCAGTGGCAGAAAAACCAACAGCCCAAAGACAAGACGGACCAGGAGCAAGCAGACTGGGCTGTCTCCAGCTCACTGCTTTCCTTGACCCTGTCCCTCAGACGCTGCAGCCGACAGTTCTCACTGCCGGTCAGCACCTGTGCAGCTGACACAGCCACCCCCCAGTCTCCCTACTGGAGAGGGGGAGGAGCCCATCTTGGACACGGAGACATGGAGACCCATAGGCTGCCAGTTGGCAGAGCCAGGACTCCAACACACCCCTCATGTCCAGATCCTGAGGCAGGAACCCTGGTAGGATAGTTCCTTCCAGAAGGGGGCAGGTCTGTCCACATGCATGTGGATGAGCCCCAAAGGCCAGATATACACCCCTACTGTTGTCCCCTCCCCAGTGGCTGTGGCTTTGTCAGGTGGTCGGACGGCCACGCCTTCAGTCTGGGGACAGCAGAGACGAGCACGAGCCAGAGCCCAAAGGAGCAGTTGTCCTCTGAGTGGCTGGAAAGCTGCAGGCCCTGGCCAAAACCTGTCCACCTGGGAGGGTGCTGGGTAGAGAAAGGCCATCTCCGTGTAGGTGAGCACAAAGACCAGAGACTTCTCTGGCACTGAGGCAACCTCCTGCCTTGGAGCCATCCACCCTTCTCACTGGGGCCAGGAAGGGTTGAACCTAGAAGAACTGAGTCCGTCCCCCCTTCAGTCCCAAGGACTCCCGAGGCCACCACTGGCAGAGTGGAATTCCTTTCAGATTTTTGGTAAGGATTATGCATCCCGAGCCTCTCACACTGCCTTCAGTGGGGCTAAAGAACTCTGAGTAACTGAGTGACTCAGTTCATTCTGGAACGCAATGGCCCAGCCGATGCTGGACAGCGTCACTGAGGAGCCGGCCCTCTGACGCTGCGTCAGTACAGGCTGAACTTGAGCTAATTCCTCCTTGCTCTCTGGTGGTGTGGGTTTCTTCAAGCCCGGAGAGCCTCCAGTAGCTGTGGGGCTCCCACTTACTAAGACAGGGCCAGCCCCTCCCTGGATGGGTCCTTTCAGCCACAAGGCCGAGGCCCGATGGGCAGTTGAGAGGGACAGCTCTCATCGCTGACACAGGCCAAAGGTGTCCTTTCCACCAGCATATTGCTGATGTCACCAAACACGCCACCGGAGAACTGCCTCACCAGTCCTGCTCACTGCTCCTCGCACTCTGCCGATACAGGCAGACCCGTCCAGCCCCCCAGCTTGGGGTCGGGTGGGTGGGCTGCCGTGTGACTTCGGATCTCCTCACACTCTGCCTCCTGCCCATCTCCCTGTCCCAGTCCTGGCATGGCAGATCATGTGCTCACTGCCAGCGCAGCTGTCACTGGGCGCTCACTCTCGTGTGCTTTGGATATGTGCCTCCTGCTGACCTGCTGTGACCTAGGTTGTGATGGTTGTCTCTCTCGTTGCCGTTTCAGAAGCCCAGAGGTCATGACCGTCTCAGGTACACGGAGCACGACAGTCACCTTCACCGTTCGCCCTGGGACCTCCCAGCCCATCACCCTGCAGAGCCGGCCCCCCGACTATGACAGTAGGACCTCAGGAACAAGACGTGCCCCAAGCCCTATGGTCTCGCCAACAGAGCTGAACAAAGAGATTCTGCCTGGCCCCCTGTCCGCTGCCGCCGCATCTCCTTCCCCTTCTCTCTCCGATGTCTTCAGCCTTCCGAGCCAGCCCCCTTCCGGGGACCTGTTTGGCTTGAACCCAGCGGGACGCAGCAGGTCACCGTCTCCCTCGATACTGCAACAGCCAATCTCAAATAAGCCTTTTACAACTAAACCTGTCCACCTGTGGACTAAACCAGACGTGGCGGATTGGCTGGAAAGTCTCAACTTGGGTGAACACAAGGAGACCTTCATGGACAACGAGATCGATGGCAGCCACTTACCAAACCTTCAGAAGGAAGACCTAATAGATCTGGGGGTGACTCGCGTCGGACACAGAATGAACATCGAAAGGGCTCTGAAACAGCTGCTGGACAGATAAGGGTGGCTGCTCCTGACCTTTACAGACTTCTTATAAGTAGAGATGGGCTTACACTGAGATGTTTGGGAGGCCAAGCAAGGCCTGAGAGCTCCAACCCCACTCCACGGGTGTGTCTCCTGGTACCCAAAGAAATGCTGGGTGTGCTCATGACACAGCTGAGCGAAGGCCCCGAAACTCCCCCACTCGCTCTCTGTGGGGGTTTCTTGGGCTGTTCTGTCCACCGGGACAAGGGGCGGGAGTTTTTCTAACTTGGGAAGGAATTCACAGCTGGCACCCCAGCACGCAGGTGACCTCACTTTGCCGGGCCCAGGAGACTCCCGTCCATGAGCTCGGGGCCTGGCCCTTGCAGGCAGACGCCATGTACTCCAGATACCTCCTGAGACCTCCCTCCTCTGCTCTCGGGGCAACCGTGGTACCCCAGGCCCCGCACGGGCCTGCCTCAGGCTGGGGCCCCTCGGACGGCGCTCAGCACTCATGCGCTTTCTTCCCTGTCCTTCGCTGTGCAGTGAGGCGCCCCACGTGTTTGTCCGGTGCCTCTTCTGGGCCTGAATGGTGGAGGAGCTGTTTCCCTGTAGATTCTTGAGCTTCCCCCTCCTGCGATGTGCATCCACAGTTCTTGACCATGAGGGTCTTGGTGGTGGTGGGAGTTTGAACGGGATCGTGCCGGCTTTGCTTAGCTTTCTTTCTTTATTTCTGCACATCTCTTAGCATAATTCCGAAGTGGCCAAACAGATGTCACGTGGAGTTAGTCAAAGCACAAAGTCACGATTCCAAGCAGGAGGGGAGACCTGGCTGTGGGAACCAGCCAGCATGCAGCTGCCTGGGTCCAGTCTCGAGGACGAGAGTAGCTATCTGCCAGGAGTGCCCGTCCAGGACTGAGGCCGGGGATCCCCGCCATTCCGAATCTGTTTAAAATCGAAAGTGTGTTGAATTCTGTAAAGATCAAAGCAGGCAAGCTCCCACTTTGGCACAAAGGACGAGCCGCCAGGTTGGTGGGGGGGGCCTGTGCTGCTGCCAGCCACCCGCTCTCTCCACCGGGACCTGGGCAGGCGCAGTGAGCTCCGTTCTAAGCCCGGCCAAGGGTAAGTCAGCATCTCAGCTGAGCCACTCAGCATCTCTGAACAGCCCTTTTGCTCTCTGAGGCCAGGGAAGGTGGGTACTTCGGGGGTCTGCCCCTTTCTTTCTGAGAGTCCAAGAGCCCCAGCAGCTTGTCTTACTTGTAAGTACAGCGGGTTTTTTGAGAGCCCAGAGGGTATGGCAGGACCCAGGCTTGAGACGAGAAGGTGGGCTGCAGAGCAGATAAATGGAGACACAGCAGACCAGTCTCCTGGACGCCCGGCGGGCCTCTGGCCAGGCTTTCTCGAGCCCCGTCGCTTTCTTTTCCCTGGAGTGCCCCCTCCCCTGTAACAATACCTCTGATTTCCAAGGGAGGTCGCCAATTGCACATGGGCCGCAAAACATCCAGTCAGGCTTCCAGCACATTCTGTCACATTTGGAAGAAACTCGAATGTCAGGTTTTTGGCTTTTATTATGATTTCAGAACTAGCCTAGCCCATCTCTAATTATAAAAACATGATTTTTTTCCTTTTTTATGCTCACAATCAAGTGTCTGATTAGGTCTGGAACAGCTCTAGAATGAACACGTAAAATTTAGCAATTTAAAATCTTTCTTTCCTGCAAGTTTAAATAGTTGTACAGATAGTTTATAAGCACAATATTTTAAGAAAAAAAAAGTGGCTGGTCTACTAGGCAGCCTTTGTGCCACTTCAGTGCTAGAAAGTTAAAGAAAAACAACTTTTGTGATTTAATAATACTATTTCTGTGGAATAATTCTAAAAGTATGACCTTTTTAAAATCAACCTTATTTGGACGCATCTGAACCAGCAGAGCTGTGTTATATTTTATATCTTTGCTAGAACTTCATCACTGAAGGATAATTATTTCCTCAAAAGTGGTTACAACTCACAATGCAGCAGTTTCTCCAAAAACACACACACACACTCACACACCACGATTTCCCAGCCACATGCCCCAGAATTGGAAACCGAGTTTCGGACCTTCCTCTCTGTTCCAAAACCTTTTGCACATCAATCTTTTGTCTTTGACTGATCCGATCCAACCTGAAATCAATTGAATGTTAAGGCACGGTACCTCCATGTCCCTTCAATTTTTCCATCACGAAATGAATATCACTCTAGAGAAATTTCAAACCAAGATGCAGTCGGTGGGCTGCCGAGGCTGCCCAGTAGTTCGGAACACGTCAAGGTGGTGGTTTGGCCATTATTCGTCTTCCATTTGGTAACAGGCAAAACCCCATCAGTTCACCACTGCACCACAATGGCGCTTTTCTCCTTCTCCTCCCGTTGGCATTACCTCTATGCTCAGTGTCGGGCACACAGCTAGACAGAATGGGAGTCAAGGAAACCACTGGGAGATCATAACTGATCGCAATGGTGGCTTTCGGTTTCCTGAACTTTGGTAGCCAGTCGGTGCGAGCTGGCTATTACTCCCTTTTCTGAGACTTCAAGCCACCTGCAGCCAACCAGGCGCCAGCAGGTGCTGATGAAGTTGTTTATTTTTACACTGTCTTATAGCACTGTAACAGAACCCATCAGACCCTGCACTGACCGACAAAATAAACACACATGGCCAAGATGGACCAGTCCCACTCCATTTGTGGATTTCATCACACAAAGCAATAGTTCCCCATTCAAACCGCCACCCACTGTTCTCCCCCTCGGGACACGTTAGGACCAGGCCCTAGTACACAACCCTCTTTAATGGTGGAACAAATGTTAAACTGCTCACATAAAAACCATGTTAATACTACCCCAGGTTTTCAGATCAACTTTTGTTATATACTGTAATTTAAATAAATTGCATTTACATGCCTACTTTCTGTAATATTGTGTATACAAACCAAAATCTCTCGAGATGTAAATTATGTATACCGGCCAAGATACCTTCTCCAGGGTATCTGTGCATTTTAAGTTAACACACAATATAAAAATGACTCAATGTGACTGTTGATTTGCCGAACTTTACATATCACAAAGTGAATTATTTGTGGTATTTTAGTTAATAAAATGGTGATTTTTTTTTCCTGAGTTATTGAGCAAGCAAGCACTACCCAGGTGATTTGGCAATGACTTTTTTTGTGTGGTCCACAAATAATTGATTTTTTTTCCATTAGCAAATTTTTTTTTGTTTTTTAGAAACTGTTTCACATTATAGTTTGTGTAACATGTTCACATTATCTATGTTTCTGTTACTTTTGTGCTTTTATTCTTTTTCAACTTTATTAAAAACAGAAAATAAGCTCCTGTAATTTGCACTTTCTCCCAATCCTTAAATCTCTTGTATGGCAACCAAAATTACTGTAAAAAAATAAATATACTATTGCACTAAGGTTGTGGTTCTGATTGCAAACAGTGATAACTGAATTAAACAAAAAGTTGCCAAACTTGCAATCTAATGTAGGTTATTTGAACAGCATAGCCTCTTTACCTCTGTCAAATGGACCAGGCGATCTTCCGTCAGAGTAAAAATTCTTTCATTGAGCTTATTTGCCTTGGTTCCTTTTCCCTTCATGGATTCCCAATGTGTAGGCGGCAACATGATCAGCACAGAACTGGAAATGCTGACGTGGCCGTCTGTGGCCGCTGCTGTCAGAGGGCAGCTGAAGCTTGGTTTGCCTCTGGTTTCGGGATGGAGGCTGGGGAGTCATGGGAGAGTGAGCTAGGCTGGCGCTTTCTCCTGGGAGGAGAGGTCTTCCCCATACCCACAACCTGTCTTCTTGCTGTCAAGCCATGAGGGTTCAGAACGGGGCAGCCTGTCTGGCCAACGTAAAGAAACAGTGTCTTGCTAAGCAAGCACGCACTGAGGCTCGGGGCAGGAGAACGCATGTCCTTGGAAAAGCGCTGTCGGGAGACATGGGCTCCCCTCCCACTGCAGGGAGGCGTATTTTAAACTTCAAATTGAACCTCTTCTTTGGCCTCTTCAGTGAAAAGTTGTCATTAGCTCCCAGACAGTCTCTTCTATTTGGGCACCTTCTCCACTATGTTTCAATGTTCATAAAAATTTCCAGTCTTCGTACCTCACTTACGTCCTCCTGCCTCACCCACCGTCCAGGGTTTCTCCCAGATCTTCACCACCCCCAGCTTCACCTCCCAATGGTTTCCCTCTAGAGCTCTTTTCCTAGATAAATGCATCCGTTTCTCGTTAAGAAAAAATTGTTGGAAGACTTTTATCTTTTACTTGTACTTTGAGGCATTTTAATAACTGGGGAACTGGAATGTCGTTCCGTATTTGTAGATATCCACGTACACACGCAAGTGTGTGGAAATCCCACCGCGGCTGGGTGAGCACAGCAGCGGCGTGGACACAGGACCGCCTGCACGTGCTTTGTGGGCAAGTGGGTAATTTCCAAACCTGTTTCTCAGACTTCAGCAGACCTGATCACTTCAATTTTTAATTCACGCTGTATCAGTGATTTTGTTTATTGTTCCTGTAAATGTTTCTACATTTCACAGTCTTTACTGTTTTGTGTTTAAAATTACAACAATCACTGTCCATTGCTTCTACTCTGGAACTCTTTGTCTATAGCAATTCTGGAACTTTAATATGAGCCTTCAAATAAATACAGAAACAAAAAAAACAGAAAAAAATAAAGTGTGTGCCTTGGGTGTTTTGAACCTGATCTGCATAAAACCATATTGTATTCAAATGCTGTATATTTAATGAAAGGATAAATATATCTTCACTGTATTAATGTAGCTGATAAAATAGTTATAGTGCCTTGTTTTCTGAACTGAGAAGCCCATATCAATGCACAACGTAAAGTCAAAAACGATTTGAGAAATGAAATGTTGAGAAGACCTAGACATGGCTCTGGAGCCTTTCTCATCATAAGACTGTGGAACATACACAGTCATTTAAAAAATAAAAAGAAAATTGAAATAAGATTGTGTTATCAGTTACTTTTCCGTTAAAAGTGCTCTCTACTATATCATTTTCAGTATTTTCATTTAGCTAAAATACAAAACGTGTTGAAGAATTTCCACGGAAAAGAGGGCGTTTGGCCAGGAGTCCCGAGCTTTCTGACCTGCCTCGCCTTGTGTCGTGTCGCCCCCCGGTGGTACTTGCTGGTAATGCTGATTCAAGTAACGAGTACTTATTATTTTCACATTTTGTTAAAAATATTTTTAGTGATTGAGGCCACTCATCCCAGAAGAACTATTTACATTTTTCATAAGTTAAAGGAGTGGCAATACAGCCTGTTTTCCTTTTACAAAAGAAAATGATGTAAGAAGAACATCAGTCTAATTCTCATCTCCACGCTCTCATGCTCCATTTACTAGAAGTTAAATGTTAGTCTTCCCTGAGCAGCCTGTGGCATCGTACATGTTAGGAACTACCACTGCCTGTGAGGCGAGAACTATCACAGCAGTAGTGAAAGTCTAGGACGGGTTGGCCAGCTCAGAGCAGCGGCAGCCCCATCTTCTTGGGACCCATCAGCAAGCAGGCCACTGACCTGCCCAGGGGGCAGACACCATGGGTTGTATTATCAGCATCTCCTTGGGCTCCTCTGCTAAACACACATCTCAGGAGCAGGAGCTACCCTGTGCCTGCTGCCTCACAGACTATCATCAGTGCTCTGTTTGCCAGTCCAAAGCCAACTGCATATCCAACTTGTTCGTTTCAGGCAACAAATGCTGCCAAAAATCTGAGAATCGAAAGGGGTGGTTTGGGAGAGGCTGGGGTTTCTTAGGGACCCCCATTCCACATGCTGCTGCCTCTGCTGGGAATATGTACGTGTCCAGGAGTCACGGGTGAGCTGGAGTACTGACTGTGGCCGAGCCCTGGGCCTGTGTAAGATGCAGATCAGGGGGATGGCCGGCTGGTCTGTAGCGGGACAGAGTGGGGACAGCTGATCCCTCGCCTGCGCTGGTGCTCTGAGACGCTGAGCCATCCTGCCACCGCCCACTCCTCGTCTTCCTTGCCAAGTGACTTAATGTGTTCTTTGAACCCCAGAATCCAGAGCAGCAGCAGAACAAAGTCCCCGAAGACCCAGGCAGAGGTCTTATTTCTGTGCACGGCCCCAGAAAGTAGTACAGGCTGGAAATAATAGTAAATCTATGGGGTGTTCTTGTGCCAGGCGCCACTCAGAGCACTGTACCCATTAGTGTCGCACAGTCCCATGAAGCAGAAACGAATAGCCCCACTTTACAGATGAGGAAGCCAAGTCTTGCCAAAGTCCACAGTGAGTACAGAACCAGGACCTGCTGTAGCGCTTCCATGGCCGAGTCCATCTGTCAGAAAGAAAAGCCCCGCCAGGTGCCTCGTGAGCACTGCTGGTGTCAGGATCTACCCGGTGACAAGGACACACACCTCTCTGCCCCCTCCAGTCATTTGCGCAGGGCCAGAGTCTAAGAGGCTGGGCAAGGCGGCAGCTCCTCCCAGAATCCCCTCAGGTGGTGAAAAGCAGAGGCGGCTGGTTGCCGTGCTCCCCTTGACCAGGATGAGCCAGGACCCAGGGCTCCCAGGGTGCCACACAGCAGACGTGGTATTTGTAAAAGGCCCCACGGCTTAGAGATGTGTGACACGTGGCATCTGCTTTAAGTGTCCCAAGACTCCCACGAGGTGAGGATCCCACAGATGATCATCCCCTTCACTGATGAGGAACCGGCTGTCGCCTCCCATGGCCCACGGGCAGCCGCGGCCTCCTCGCCGAGGGAGCACAGCTGGCCCTCGTGGGATCTGAAGGCCCCCCAGGCTCCGAGCTGCCCCAGGCCTCCCGCAGCACCCCGCTGTGGCCCACCAGCCGGAGCGATGGCCGCTGCCGCCAGAGTCCCGGCTGATGGAGCTCCTGAGCCCAACGCCAGTGGGTTTCCTCCCACACCCTGACCGTCTTCTGTCACTAGACTTGGGGAGCCCCTTCCTCTCCCCTCACTATCACCATCAGTGGCCGAGGAGAAAGGCCCCACGAGTGAGAGGAGGTAAGAAGCTGCGCGGCTGCAGGGTGAGTTTGAAAAAGATTCTAACGAGCCCCCGGGCTCTGAGGCCTTCCGCAGAGCCAAGGGCACGGAGCACAGCCGCTGCCGCCTTGGCGCGGGAGCCTGCCGCTGGGCGCGCTGGAAGTCCACGCTCCACCCGCAAGCAGAGCCGGTGAGCGGGGCGGCCGGCGGGCCCGCGGTTAGCGCGCAGGCGCACAACGCCAAGGTCGCCGGTTCGATCCCCACATGGGCCACAGAGCTGCGCCGCCACAGACAGACTGAAACAACGACTCGACTTAGCGCTGATGGGCCTGGGAAAACACAGCGTTCCCCCATTTTAAGAAGTCTGGTGAACGTGACAACCAAGGGGCCTGGGCGCAGGCCGAGGAAACCGCACGCCCGAAGCCTTCGGCAGCCGCGGGCCCTGGTGACCAGCCTGTTGTGGCAGCAGCCGGGGGACGAGGGGGGGCGCAGTGGCTCCTTCTGGAAGGAGGGGAGACCACAGAGAGCGAGCTGGGTGTACATCCGGCGCAGGCCATGCCGTCGTCACAGCAGGGACCCCGAAACGGCCCCGCCGGTCCCGCCTCTGTCCCCCCACTCTGACCCCCACTCAGCCCTCCGAGCCGCTCCTCCGTGCGCACCTTGCTCCTGCCACGCTCCCACCTCGGGGCCTCCTCTCCCCCTTCCCTGGTACGGGGTCTGGATGGCCTTCCCTGTGTCTGCACGGCTTCCTGGACCAGCCCCATCCGATGCTCCGTCTCCCCTTGTGTGTGGGGGGCGCTTATCACGGCCTCAAGCTGGCTCACTAACGTGCTCCCCGATGCACGCGCACGCCCCGCTCTGGAAGGTAAGCCCCACGAGGGCCGCTCTGCCCACGTCACGCACTGCTCCCCAGGCACCGTCACTGCGTGCGGGGCAGCCCCCTCCCGCATCGAGAGCCCCCCGGCCACGCCTTCCAGCCCCGGCCGCCCTGCAGCCCCCGCCGCTTCACCCTGGTCCTCAGAGACCTAGTAAGGAAGGGCCACGTCCACGGGGCTGGCGCTGGGCGTGCCGTGATTCGCCCAGAGCCGGTGTTGGGGTAACTCACCTCAATTCGCAGGTTCTCGGACAGGGCGCCCTTCCGCCCTCTGAAAAGCAGCTGCGTGGAGAGCACAGGCGCCCTCGTGAGGGCGAGGCCTTCACCCTCCTCGTGGGCCCCAGCTCGCCCCCTGCGCCTCCGCCAGGGCTCCGAGGGCGCATCGAGAGGCCTGGCGCTCCCAGCCTCCGGCGCCATCTTGCCTGCGGATCGCACCGCTGCGGGCCCCGGACGCCGCCGACGCCAGGACGGCGTCCTACCCAGAGGCCCCTGCGCCGCTTCGGACTCGGTCACCGCCCGACGGCACGGTTGGCGCGGGCGTTCCAACAGCCCAGAGACAGGCCGGCCCACGCGGCCCGGCTTCTCCTCCGCCCCGCGCTCCCACTCAGCGCTCGAGCACGCACGGAACGCTGATCACGTGCCCCACATACACCAGCCACACTGGCAAAGGGCCTGCTGGTCACGTGCCCCACATAGGCCAATCATGACCGGCAAAGGAGCCCAGCGGTCACGTGACCCGCATGGCCCAATCCTGACCGGCAAAGGCGTGCGAATCCATGATTGGCCCCGCTGGTAGACAGGACCAGGCACCCGCCCGCCCGGAACTGTCGCTCACCTTGGCCATCGAGGAAACGGTGAGAACTCCGCCCTGGGTTCCTTTCCTTGCAGAAGCCGTGGCCTCAGCTTGGACCTGGCCGCGTGGACCGTGGGAAGCAGGGTCCATAAGGCCGTTTCTGCTCGCAACTGTCCCCACACCCATTCCGTAGTCGTCCCACCAGGGGTGGGAGGCTCCCTGGGCCTGAGGTCGCTAATGCTTAGACCCCTCTGTCGTGGGGCCTGGCTGAGAAGCGACCTCGCGGTCCCACTGGGGAGCACGCACTTGAGGTTCCTTGTCCCAGGAGTTGTCGTGCGGCATTTCGTAGCTTCCCAGGCACGTTAGGTGCACGTCGAGCAACAGAGAATTACCCGCGCGGCCCTGCCAGCGGCCCGTTTTAGCATCTAGGCCTACAGAACGCCTTCGCCTTTTAACACCCGTCTTTTCTTGCCATGGTTGGAATCACAATGCATTTGCTGTCTCCCGCGTGCTTCGCTTTCCTTTATGCCCTAAGCCTTCGTCACACGGTTGCGGGGACTCCAGCTCTTCATAATGGTGCTGTGACATCACATTGAGCGGGAGCACCGTAATTTCCTTGGCCGGCCTCATTTAGCTGGACATTAAAGGTTATTTTCAACTTCCCTATTACAGCATTGGCTTACATCCAGCTCTCTGAGGGCGAGGTCTCAGATCACCACTGTGCGGCTGGCACATGCCTCAGCCCTGGGGACGGACACTGGGCAGCTTCTGTGCAGAGAGGTGGGGAGGATATCAGTAAGACTGTGAGAAATAGAGTCTGGGGTCCAGGCTCAAGAAACACATGCCACATCCCAGCTCAGGGGCTTGTTAGCTACACGGCCAGGGCAACTTAACACAGCTGGAAACACCACTCTTATCCCTGAGTGCAGATCGATTTAAATTATAGTTAGATACTGTGTTTGGCTGCAAATAACAGAAACCCCACTTAAGAGTGGCTTAAACAAATGGTGCTT